TAAACATTATTATTAAAAGAAACAAAAAAAAAAAAACAGATCTTTTTAACAATTATTACATTTCACTAGTTTTTCTTGGATAAGGCTGACAATGTACTTTTTTTGTATTAAATACAAGTGTCATCCAGAATAGTCCTGTTGGAGGGAATTCTACTTATAAAATAAGCATGTCAGTTCAAATAAGCATTCTTTTGGGAGTCTTTATAGAAATTTTTAATAAATGTGCCTGTTTGTTTAAATAATTTTCTCTGCATTAGGGGTGGTAGACATTTTTTTACCATATACAAAAATGATCAAGAATAGTCCCATTGGTGGGAATTTTTCTATTTATAAACATTCTGCCAGGAATTGGTTATAAATGTTTACTAAAAGTGGGACAAAATAATCATGCCACATTATAAAATTATAAGTGTACCATAGCAAATAATCACCATTCTGTCGAGGAAAGGGTGTGTCAGAGATAATTGTGCCAGCACTTGCATTTGGTATTCAAAAGTATATTTGCTTTGATATCTTTGCCTAAAGTTATTCACTCACTCTTTTCTGTTTCTCATTTGATGTGCCCTTCTAAAAATGATTGCGGTTGGGATGACTGGTGATTGTGTAAAACTTTCTCAAGGCTGTTAGTGTGTAAGTGATCCCAGTAGTCTGAATTGGAATTTAAATGGCTCACTTATCCTGTTTTCTGGGTCGGTAACTGTGTGGGGACTGTCAGTTTCAACCTCAACTGATCTTTGGACCACCTGTCTCCAAATACTCTTTCTCATACTGAGCATCCCTCCCCCATAAATATAACAAATTTTAAACACTAAAATTATGTATGTATCCACACACACATACACACATATATATAAAGAGAGAGAGTTTAGCCTGAAATAGGGATGGGCAAAAATTGCCTAAGTGGACCCCTTTTAGAATTTGTAAAATCTATGATTTTTATTTGTAAAAAAAATAGTATTAATGTAAAATCTTTAAAAAAAAAATTGATAAAAATAAACAAAAAGCTTTAAAATCAAATATTTTTATTGGCAAATAACATAGATTATGATGACTAAAATTATTAGCAATGATAAATTGCAGTGAAACATTTTCAAAAAAGGAATTGAACATTACATTATCAGCTTATAATACATTGTGGAAAGAATGAGATTGTTGTATTAATGTATAAAAATATAAAGCTTTTTCAGCATAAAATCAAAATAATTATTGAAACAAAAAAATTTAGCACTTGTTATTGATAATTTGTCTCTCCTTTAGAGTTTCATCAGTACTTCCATCGAATATAATACTGCAATAAAATGGAATGTTTTGCATGTTGTTTTTTATATCATCTTTGATGCTTTCTCCAATTGCATGGACAGTTTTGGTACAGTAATGTGTAGTAATAAAGACTTTTCTCATGTCACTGCCATGCTTTATCTGTTTGGACAAGTGCTGGAAAAACAGAAAATGTTAGCTCTTCCTTGACCACCATGTAAGCCCAGTCAAATAGATTTTTTTTTTTTTTTTGAGTCTATGTAACCCAGCCAGACTCAATTTCTTTAATGACTCCTGAATGTTAACTTCTGGTGTCTCTGCATTCTTTACATGGAAATTAAGGTTTTCATGTGTCATTGCTGTGACTTTCTTAACATTGGAAGTTACTTTAATAAAAGTATCAACACCTTTGGTAAAGCAGCTTTGGACTTAGTTTAGCCTGTACCTTTCTGCAAATAGTGCAAAACACTAAATCAACAAAGATATCTTCACTGACCCAACCCAGACAAGATATATTCCATCTTAGTTTTATTTTCAATTTTGTGAGGGTGTTGACTTTCTGAAGGCTGATGCAAAGAACTTGAAGAAAGCCCAGGTTGAACCACAGAGGACATTGACCACTCTGTTTCAGCAGAAGTGCTTTGAGTTGACCTGTGGAGAAAACATAATAAAATTAAGAATTTAATGTATTGGCTATTTTGAAGATAATAATTATGAATTTTTTTCTTCACTTGAAGCTATATATATATATATATATATATATATATATATAATGTGTGTGTGTGTGTATCTGCACCTGGCCTTGGATTGTTTATATGGGTGCACTTGTGTGAACTAAGATGTGTACACCTTGTATGTATGTGTGTCTATGTGAATGAGAGTGTCACTCCAAACAAGCACAGAAGGAAATTCCCCCTTCCACCACCAAACATAGTCAAACAAGCATAAATAAATCCAATTTTAAAAAATAAACTAGTTTATTTGATAATCACAAAAGCTTATGAAACCCATAGTCACCAAACTCATATCCATACAACTGAATAAATATATATATATATATATATATATATATATATATATATATATATTTGCACAGGGGCTGAGGAATGCATCAGTCCAACCAATCTGATTTCATTAACCATATAGGCATTAAGCTAAAAAGCCGAAAAACAAAATCCCAGGTTATAAAAAAACAAAAAAAAAAAACTGAAAGTTATTTTAAACTTATGAACAAATATGTTCTATGATCAGCCTTTTCCTGTTTTCTTTTTTCTTTCTTTTTCTTTCTTTTTTTTTCTTTTTCTTTCTTTCTTTTTTCTTTCTTTCTTTTTTCTTTCTTTCTTTCTTTCTTTTTTTTCTTTCTTTCTTTCTTTTTTTCCACCAGTCCATGGCTGATCTGGTTCCAATATCATGTGACCATTGGGTGATTGACCCTGAGTTAAACCCAGGCACCATCAGGCTGCCTTACAGGAATCATCTGACCAGATCCTGTTGAGAGTCACTCGGACCTTTTTCCATCACATGATCACCTTGTGATTGCATGCTCGGTCAAGGGTGAAAGGACCCCATGTGACAAATTTTGGATAGCCAAAAAAAAAAAAAAAGGCAGTTTCTTGTCTGACCGGCAGTTGATCAAAACTGGTGAGCGAATCATTCTGATTCTTATACAGAATCTTCACCAAGATAAAGAAAACGGCAAACTCTGTTGACCATAGAAGAAAAGCATACTGTGGATAAACATTCACTTTGAGATGAAAAGGTTACTATATTTATTAACTCATAATTTATAAGAACCTTTAAGGAAAATTCTAGTTGACAATACAAATATTCTTTTCAAATCACATAGCCATACACAACTCATAATTATGGAAGCATCACTTATTAAATAATATTCACCTGCTATCAATCATACACTATTTAGCAGTGGAGTTAAAAAAAATTTCTAAAAATAGAAGACATGCCCAACTATAACAGCTACACAAAACATGTGAATGCTAAAAAGCATACAACACCTGCCGCACATACTACACCTAGCAAAACTACTATGTAGAAACTGCACAGAAGTTTGCCATCCAAAAACAACATCCTTGATAACGGCTATAGAACTAGCCAAAAATGCTCAGAATAATTTTAGCTATGGACAATTCCTATATTCTTGAACCCCTGAAAAATGAAAAATTTTAGAATGCTGGAAAAACTCTATAAAAGATTTAATTAAATCTTCCTTGTTTTCAATGGAACATGCTTGAAAGAAAGGTTGCTGCCCAAATACACATTAATTACACACACACACACATATATATATATATATATATATATATATAGTTTTTCTTTGTTTTTACATATATATATATATATATGTATTTTGTGTGTGTGTGTATGTATATATATATATATATATATATAATTTTCTTTGTCATATATTGTGGTATTTTAATTAAGTAGATGACTATGGTTTTTGTTGTATTGCTTAGCTAACTTTCTCAATTTAATTGTATCTGCTACTTCATCTTTGAAATGGTAAAAAGGATTTGATTTTTATATTCTTATCTATTGCGGGAATTGAACAACTCTTAGTTTCCCATTGATCATCCGATGACACACATAGCATCATCCGATATCTTCCAGCCTTCATTCTCTTGTCAGTCACATGTTTCACTTGGATCCGATCATTATCTCTTGTCATCACAGTGATCAGACAGTTTCCTTTCAGCTTTGCCAGGAAATTGGTTCTGCCTATCAGCCGATCTGACAACGCGAAGAAGCACATTTGAAAATTGCAAAAAATCAAGAGAACCTTCTCAGCAAATTGACAGTTAAATTCCTCAAAGTATTCTTGTACATTTATTCACTATTTTTACATTGTGTCTAATCACTGTGCCCACTTCACTCGTTTTATAACGATTGCTAATTACTTTTAATTGTCTTTGTATCAGAACCAAAGAAAACAGCAACTAGTGTTAAGTGAAATTCAAATACTTCTGATCAGAGAGGCAACTAATTGAGTTAACTCATTAGCCAAAAAAAGAAAGGAAAAAAAAATTAATACACACCTAAGATGTTTATGCACCTTGTGCTATCACAGGTAGAATTTTTCTATATTCTAAAGACAACCCAATACAAAGCTCAAGAATCCACTACAGATAGTAGGTTACTACTAATAGGTTTATGAAGAAAGTGTTGTGACATGAATGGAAAAATTGACTCAAGTGAAGTTTATGATTACTGAACCAATATATCAAAGCTTTCATTCATTCTAATTGTGTGTGTGTGTGTATATATATATATACACACACACACACACACACACACACATGCTAATATACACATAGTGATTCAGAATGAGAAATTGGAGAGACAAGTTCAAATTCTGGTTGAGTTTGTTACATTTACTTATGCACAAATACACTTTGGAAATTCATTTCTTCATCTCCCCCTAGCTATAGGTTAAACTGGGCTCCTTAAACTTAACTTAGTTGGTTCTACACATGCCTTAACAACTAAAATCAAATCATATATGGGGGGGTAGTCTGGCTGTTAAAACAAACCAATAAACATCATAAATAACAACAATAATTAACATTTTCCAGGGAATGTATTTAAGATAAACGTGATATCTGTTAATAAATATAGATTTATCTTAACCTAACAAGCAGATCTGTGTTTGTGAAACTTAGTCAGAAGATAAGTCATTAAACTTTTTATCTATTTTCTATATATAATGTAAAAGAGAAGATAAACCCTTGCTGAACTGTGACACTCTCTGTAGCCAAGTTGTAAAGCACACTGGATTAAACAGTGGTTTCTCCTAGAAAGGGGGGGTTTAAGTTCGATCCTTTCCGTAGAACACCATTTTCTTTAATAAAATTTCTCGAATGCGCAGGCTAATAACTGCTAGAATAGGCGTGATACACACTGTTTAACATAAAAATAAAAATGGGGAGTCTATTTCAAATACAAGTATCCAATAAAATAATATTTGAAGTAATAAATATGCATTCACCCCTTTTTCGGTTTCACTTTTTTATTCTTTAATTTTTTTTTCATCACACCACATTGTAAAGCATAAGATTGACAGTATAAAAAAAACAAACAAACCATGAGACAAAAACATTAACATCCAAACATTTTCATTCCGGTAAAAACCTGTCTGAAAGTTAAAATAATTTGAATTGAAATTCTATCTGTTTGTAAATGTTTCCTTTTCCCCCAATTATGCTTCCTGATTTCTCCTGATGGCTACTTCAGAATAATTTCCTTCCAGTTGCAAAAAAGGGTAACAGCACCGATAATGGAAGTAGATAATGGAAGGTCTTATGTTTAGTAACCCACAAAACAATACTATTCTCTTCATTCTTTTAAGTACAAGAAATGATTTCTGAATTTCTCCTATGAAATGTTTTCATTGTTCCACATCTTCTTAGGACTTGTTTTTGCTTATCTTTATTTTTTTTAATCAATTCACTCCAAGCAAACTGATAATGCCTCTAAGACACATGGAGTTAAAGACAATTAAAATACTTCCTAAACAGGAGACAATGGATAAACCTCTACTCTTGTTCAAAAGACCAGGGAGGAGTGTGAACTGGACAATATGCAAACCTATCTTCTCCTATTGAGGTACTGAAACAAAGAGGTAAATAAATAGTAAATAAAATTTTAGAGTTTAGATGGAGACATTAGAAATATAGAGTTGAAGTAATTTTCAAAAGGAAACAAACTCAATCTGAAACAGGAAACAAGGGATAAACCTCTACTCCTGTTTTAAAGATTGGGGAGGAGTGTGAACTGGACAATTGGTCTTGTGTTTACTATGTTATAATTCTGTGAGTTTATCCATTTATACATTCATTACACCTTCCCAATACCTTAAGTAAATAATTTACAATTACATTTTGATTGTGTTATATTCCGTGCTAATAGGAATATATACTTGAAAAACAAGGTGGATAAAATAAGTAAAGGTTTATTGTAAAAAAACAGTACAATAAGAAAAAAGGTAACAGTTATGCACAAGGTCGTCGCAAATCAATCCAGTAGAAAGTGCTACTATTTGGAAGGTCAGTAGTTATCGCGTAAATCTGAGTCATACTCAACAGATCCCAGCTAGTATATTTAGCTATCCCCCCCCCCACGAGGGTTGCATGTGGCACAAGGCCAGTTTAACGTGGGCACTCTGAGCCCATAGGCTCATCCAAAAATATCCCCTTTTTGAACCCACATAAACAGGTTCAGGGTTAGTCTACCTCCCCAAAAGAGACTGTGCCCTTCGGCGGAGCCTCATTCGGGTTCCTCTTTGCCCGAAGGCAGAGAGTTCGACTGTTTAGCTGGAACAGGTCACAGCTAGTCTCTGTAGTCTGTTGACTTACAGATACTTATAGGTAGTTACTACCTTTGGTGTAGTCAATCATGGGGGTGACAGGTTACTCCATTACATCAGATTGCAAGGAAAAATGAAAGGAAAAGATATATCAGGGATGCTGTTTGGTCTTAGTGAGAAAAAAAAAGCATACATAATAAGAAGAAAAAAAAAACTTTTACCTTGATAAAATATAAGATTACTGGAAATTTATTTAAAAAAAATAGCATTCAGTTAGTTTCCTGTAGTAGTCTACCATTTCTTTCTGTGGAAGACTGATTGCCAACCAAGGCTATATTGAATAGCAGGATGCAATAGCTGGGTCAGTCTATCCTGCTATTCAACCCAAACCTGAGGAGAGAAGAGATGGATTCATACCTTTCTCAAGTGTATTTGAATATAAGTGAACCTGACTGGAATTTGAACTTGGCTCTCTGATTTCTTTAATAAAATAATAACAACATCTATTCCATTTTCATTGCATAGAAAAATGGAGGAAAATATATCAGAGACTGTCAGAATTTGAATTCACATCACTGATTACATTTATGCACACAAACACCTCTATGTATGTACCATATTTGAAGGCATATAACTTGTGCATTTTAATAAAGAAAGTGTGTTTGCTAAAAAAAAATCAACCAGTATTTTACATGTCATAAGTCAATTTTATACCCAGCACTTACTATCATAGGTAATAATTTTACTTTAAATGTTCACCTCAATTTAGCTCAAAGGCATAAAAATGTGATTTGTTTAAGCAAAAGTATCATTAGTTTATGTAATGACAGGGCATACAAATGCATCCATTGCGCAGAAAATTCCAGCTGATTATGAAGTAAAAAAAAAACATTAGCATTTCATAAATTTATTATAAATACACAAAAGGAAACTTGTTTTGAATTGATCCAATTATTGAGGGAATATCGACAAAGTTCTGCTGACATTTGATGGGCCATCCAACAATAGACTAAAAAAAATTTTTTTCCTGAAAATACTCTGCTGAAATAGGGATTTGTCTAATATGCCATAAACTACAGTAAATTTAGTTTTGTTTGATGGAAGACCAAATACAGCAAAATGTTTATAGAAAGACTGTATAGCAGCAATCTTCTAAGACAAAAGGGTCTTTCTCTCTCTCAATATCCTTCTTTTTACTTGGGTTGAAAAAGGGGTCCAATGTCATGCAACTTGTCTATCTGTACACAAAAACACACACACACACACACATATATATATATATATATATATATATATATATATATATATATATATATATATAATACTTATTCCCTTAATTTTATATTTATATATATATAATACTTATTCCCTCTTAATTTATATATATATATACACATTTATGATTATATATATTCTACATATTAAAATATTTCTGAATATGAATTTTCTCTCAAAGGTATCATCTGAATATACTTGCAACAATAATCCACATCATGTATTTTCCCCCTCCTTATGATATTAGCCTGTTATGATGAGGTTATTGACCTTTGACCTTCCAACTATTTATCACAGCAGACAGGTTTATTCAATTTGACATTTTCTTCCCAAGATATAACGTTTCATTCTACTTTGACATCTCCCTTCCCACCTTGTTTCAGCACTTTGTCTCTTTCTCTCCCTTCACAATTGTTGAGTTTGTTTGTTCTCCAACCTCCACCCCCCCCCCACCGCGTATCTCACAAGATTCTATTTAGTTATCTTCCTTCCAAATATACATATGGAACTTTTTCCATGTTTGACATTTGCTGCCATGAAACTTAAAATCATTCCCAACCAACAATATTATCTGTGTACGTTTCATATTTTTTGTTATCTTGTAAGCTTGTATTCCTTGCAATTGTTTTTCAACTCTTGTCTGAGGTTCTGAGATGAAATATCTCTCTCTCTCTCTCTCTATATATATATATATATATATATATATAAAACACCAGAAGTGTCAAACAAAATTGCAACTTTTATAGTGATCTTATAACATGCATATGTTATAATTTTGAATAAAGATTATTAGCTCTACTCAATATTGAGCACTCTTTTAAGCATAGTGTTTTTAGTTATAGGGATTTTATTCCATGTGCACCAACACTGTACTTGGAGATATATGGTCTAAAATTTGCTATATTTATGAGTAAAGCATGCTCAGTAATTCTCAACCAGTCCATATGTCTACTCAAATATTGGTACCCACTATATATATATATATATATATATATGCAAAAAACATCACTGAAGGCCAATATATATACTAGTGTACGTAAATGTTCCATAGAATTTAATTGTTAAATACAAGTTTATTTTTATTAAATTAGTTTTACTACAAAATAAAGCTATATTATACATTTACTATTTCTATAATACAACTGCTAAACTTAGCTATTAGTAAAAAATAGAATGAGTTTTTTCTTTCCATCAAATGGTTATGGAGGGTCCACCAAAACAAATTAAGAGTAAAAATGGTCCATAGGTATAATAAAGGTTAAGAACCACTGGTGTGGACACAGAACTCAACTCTGCATGGTGACATGGTCTGCTTGAGGCATGAAACTGACAATCACCATGCTGTAATGGTGACATTAGCCATTTCCTTACAAGGAAACATTCAGCATTCATTGACCAAGCAGTCAATGTTACTTGACTTGAGCTTTTCTTCACATCAGATCTAAGTGTAGTATCCATTCCCCTAATCCCCTAATGGTAATATTAACCATTTCCCTACAAGGAAACATTTGGCATTCACTGACTAAGCAGCCAGAATTTTTCATGAAAATAGTTTTCTCAAACCCGGTAACTTTTATTTCTTTCCAGTATTGATGCTTCCTTCCTAGCCTTTTAAAGTCAACATACATACATACATACATATATATATATATATATATATATATATATATATATATATTTTATATAATAAATATATATATAATTATATAATAAAGAAACAATTTATACAAAGAATTAAATTTAATGGTGAAATCACTTTGCTAACAGGATTTAATAATACATTAACTTACTATCAATTTCTTGAATAAGATCCTTATATTCAAGTTGTTATCAGATGGACGACACATGCCAAGTACATTCGACAACTTCAAATTATCATCTTCAGGGTACAATTTTCCCAAACACTAATCTTAAATATGTGTAGACCAAAGGATGTTTTTTTAAATTATACTATTTATTGACAATTAAATATGTTTTGGAGCATGCAATGCTCTGACATTAGATCAGATTCACAGCACATTAATAATCAGAATTGTAAATTCTGTGGAAAACTACTAAGACATTTTTACTCTGCTAATTGGATTATACTCAGTCCATTTCACTTTAACAGATAAATACGTATAAGAAAATTTTGTGGATTTTAAAATTCTTCAAGCTTCTCACTTGATCAATTTGAACGTATGTGTGTGTGTGTGTGTGTGTGTGTAAAGAATATTAGATTTTATTCTTGATTCCAATATTTTTTTCTATTACTTCAAACATGATTTTTTTTAAGTGGATACCCATATTTGAGTAGACACTCCCATCTTTTACAACGATGTCTACTCAGATATTGGTACCCACTAAAAAATAAAAATTAGGTTTGAAGTAATATGAAGTAACATACACACACACATGCACACATATAGGGATGGGTGAGTTTGTCTGTTCCTATACACAATCCTTTCATGTACAGCCCTCAAATTTGGTAGCATACTTATGAAACTCAGAGAAAGGTTTCAATATAAAAAATATTTGTTTTCTCATGGGGAAGTAATGATCTCTGCTGTTACATGAATTTAACCAATCATAGTAACAGATATCTTTTTGTAAACGTTTAGTGTAATACTAAAATTTCTCTTTTATTTTTTGACTGCATAATAAAAATGTTTATGTGCATTTCTTCTGTTGCTGTTGTCTTTCAGGTAAAATTATTTTATCTTTCTTTTTTTCTTTTTTTCTTTCTTTTCTTCTCTCTTTTTTTTCACTTTTCTCTTTTTCTTTTCTTTTTCACCTTCTTTTTTCTTTTCTTTTTCACTTTCTTTTTTCTTTTCTTTTTCACTTTTCTCTTTTTCTTTTCTTTTTCACTTTTCTCTTTTTTCTTTTCTTTTTCACTTTTCTCTTTTTTCTTTTCTTTTTTCTTTCTTTTTCACTTTTTTCTTTCTTTTTCACTTTTTCTTTCTTTTTCACTTTTCTTTTTTTCTTTCTTTTTCACTTTCTTTTTCTTTCTTTTCTTTTTTCTTTCTTTTTTTTCTTTTTTTTTTTCTTTTTTTTTTTCTTTCTTTTCTTTTTCTTTTTCTTTCTTTTTCTTTTTTTTTTTTCTTTTCACTTTCTTTTTCACTTTTCCATTTTTCTTTTTCTTTTTTTTCTTTCTTTGACTTTTTTCTTTTTCCCCATTTTGTTTGTGAAGGTGAGTATCTTTAAAATATGGTATGATTCAGTTGAGATTTTATATATAATACCCATCCTTTTTCAGGTTTCACTGGTGTCGATGCTGCTTATGAGCCTCCAAGTACACCTGATGTTGTATTAAAAGCTGGGGAAACCACAGTTGATGAATGTGTTCATGAAATTCTACGTGTTCTAATCGAGAAGGTAAGGGATATATATATATATATATATATATATATATATATATATATATATATATATATAATCTTTGTTTATATGTTTAGAATATTCACATTTTAAATCTGAATTTTTTATTTGAATAAATTATTTGTAATATCAAAATTATCTTCTGTGGTTATGAAGAATTTGATAGTTTCCTTTGTCATTGTCATATCTTGTTCGACAATCTCAAATGTTTCTAAAACATAGTGTTTTCAGAAAGTATTTCTACCTAGATTGTTAACAACTTAACCAGGTGTTGTAAGCTTGGACGTGGACAACAGCTTGGAACTGGACATTGGAGAGCTGAGTTACAATTCCAGTCAAATTTTTTATATTCACTTATTCTCTTGAGAAAGCTATGAATCCACCTCTTCTCCCCCCAGCTATGGGTTAATTAGTAGGACTTGTATCAGTAAATCATTATTATCTAAAAATAAAAAATTGCAATCTAAAAATATTTTCTAGCTTTAAATAACTTGCAAAAGTTTGATAAGCTATAAAAAAAAACAAATTAACTTACTTTTTTATCATGAAAATCAACATCAATAAATAAAGGCTCCTTTTTTTTTTTTCAATTTAATACAAATTCAGGAACCAATAATATTGAACAGGATATAAATCTATGACGATTTGATGTGAAATGGAAACTCTGATTTGATTCCATGGAAACTCTGCAAATTAATCATTTGTTTTTTCTCTATGCAAACAAAAATTTATTGATTTTGACTTTACCAATAAGTTTTAAGATTAATAATAAAATATATGTTTAATTGTAGACTACATTTGCTTTTTTAGTTAAGCTTCATTTGGCTCAAGGCCACAAATATGGAGCACCCAATGAGGATTGAATATATTTGTCATTATTAATTATCAACCAGACTACCTTGTTACATTTGCTCCGGTAATTAAACATGAAGGGATTAAATATTTTTCTATAAGTCTATGTTGGCTATGTCCAAAAATGAGTTCCTTAGGCTTTCACCATCAATTTAACACTAGAACACTAACCATCAATTAAAGTTACACCACTACTAACCATGGGTATATCATACCCAATTTTGAAAATAAATATAAATCTTTATTTGAAATATTTTACAAGCAGGCACTTCAAACTTTGTACTTTGAGTTAACATTAATAGAAACTGAAAAACACATTATTTAGGTAAGAAAATCAGGTACTGAAAATTGTAATTAAAAATAGGAAAATTTGGGCTGGGTACTATATACCCATGGTTAGTGTTCTAGGGTTAAAAGAAAAGTTTTTTTCAATTTAATAGAAATTCAGGAACCAATAATATTGAACAGGATATAAATCCATGATTTGATGCCAAAAATAATAAAATTTTGAGTTTTTAAGTTGTTAATTGCACATCAACTCTGCAAAGTAATCATCCATCATGTTACAGTTTATTGGTCCATGCATTGCTTTAATTTTTGATTTGCATCTTTGCCATGTTGCTGTTTGGGTCTTGCCTTTAAAGTTTGTTCAAGGAACTTACATCTTTGCCTCACATTTCTGACATTTTCACCAGTCTTGCTTATCCAATCCTAAGGATCATTCTTAAGGTGTTGTCATGAAATAGGTTAAATAAGCTTGTCATCTTGATTCATTTTCGGATCTCGCAATTATATAATTAGGGCAGGGAATTACTCCTCAATAATGAAAAGGGTTTTTTTTTTTTTTTTTTTTTTTTAAACCAACAAATTGATAGCATGTTGTATAGAATGTCAAGTTTACAGTAAAATCATGAAACTGGTTTCAAAGAAACATTCTGATTGCAATTCATTGAAGCCTGTGTCCACAAAAATGGAAAACAGTTGGCTGCATTTAAAAGTATTTTTAGCATGGAAAGGGACATTTAGACACCCACCCCACTTGGCTCAACCACCAACCAATGAGAATATGTTTGTGGGTATATAATCAGAGAAAAAAATATGACATCTACAAATTTTGAATTTATAATTTTGTTTGCTCACATCTGGGCCCTATTCAAGGCTTGTGTCAAATGCTCTAAGCTTCAGTTTTCCATTGTCACAACACTTGTTTGCTTTTCTTCTATTTAGATGAATTTTCCAGATTTTATTGCAAAAATTATTTCTTTAATAGAAATAGTGAGATTAACCATTTCCATACAGGAAACATTCAGTATTCATTGACCAAAGAGGTTGCGTTACTGTCTGTTGAAATTTCTAAAATCTTTTCTTAAAAATTTTTTTTAGGAAATTAGACTTCCCAAGTCCATTAACTGTTATCACTCTTTCTAGTATCAATGTTAATGGTATTAATTAGCCATTTCCATACAGGAAACATTCGACATTCATTGGCCGAACAATTAGTGCTACTCTTGGTTGAAATTTATAAAATCTTACTTGTAAAACAGTTTTTCAGAAAAATAAGTTTCTCTAGGCCACTGCTCTTTCTAGTATTGATATAAGTTTCCTTGCTAACCTTTTGTTTAAGGTTGTGTGGAATGTCAAAATCTTGATTATTATACATGTTTGATAAAGTTCTTTGTGATTCTGTAGCATCAGTCTACAAGGTCCAGAAAATTCTGAAAAAGTTGGTCACCATGAATGACATATTATTTTTTTTTAATCAATTCACCCCAAGCATGATAATAATGCCACTAAGACACAAGGGGAGACTGGGAGTGTAAGAGAATGAGAAGACTTTAGAATAAACCAGAAACCCAATCCAAAACAGGAAACAAGGGATAAACCTCTACTCCTGTTCAAAAGTCAAGGGAGAAGTGTGAATCAGGTGATAAGAGTCAGGATCTGACAAGGCTATTTTAGAATGCAACCATAATTTTTGGGTTAATGTTTTAGTTTTGTAGCATCTTGCTTCAGTGTATAAAACTACCCCAGCACAATTTATTTGGTGTTCAAGTTCCTTATCTCTGATACTAAATTTATTATAACTGATCCATACACTGAGGTATTTGAAGTGTTTAGTATTTACATTATTTACATTATTCGGACTAATGTCCTCATCTTTGTCGCCATATTTATCACAACGTTTTGGCCGTTGTACGCTCCGGCCTTCTTCAGGTGGTTGAAATTTCGAACTGAACCCTTTATTTCGCTCACTGTTCTAGTTCCACGTGCCATGTTTGATAGATGTCAGTTATCTCCTGCTAATTTTCCCTCTGAAAGTTCTCCACTGGCTTAACCAGGTATTGAACTCACACTCTTTGGGTCCTGTCACTGAATCTAACCAATGCCTTTATCCACTGTACCATGTGTCCTTGAGGACATCTGGGTATGAATAAACCTAATGTCTTCAGCAACCATTTTTACCAGTGCTCATATTGCAATTTTGCTGTTATCATTGCATGTTTTTACCAGAGCTCATATTGCAACTTTTGTTGTTATCATTGCTTTTCTCTGGTACTCCTTATTACTGGTTCCCATATTGTATTTACTAAATCCATATCTGGATTTTTTTAGATGCCGTCACTGTTTTCATCCCAAATTCCTGATTATAGTTTGTTATGGAAAGGTTTATCTTGAGTCCTAGAACACTTAAAAAAAAAGCAACCCAGAAATCTCCAACATTTCTAGTTAACTCTTTACTATGCTTAGTAACCTTGCACGTTAAAAAGTCATTTGTGTGTTATTTGCAGAATGTCTATTCACCTCGTTATGTTCTCAAGCAAACATTTCAAAAATGAAAAAGACATTTATTCTGGTTAGAGATCTCTCTCTACTGTATAGAATTTCACCTGCATCTATTTTTCTGATTGCTTACTGTCGGTCTTTCCTGCCACAGCTCAACTTTTCCAAAGCTTAGAATAACAATCAATAAGCTATTTTATCGCGTTTATAATTGCAACATCTTGCAAAAAAAAAGCCTAGACAAGGATCTTAGGGATAGAAGAATCAATGACAAAAATATATAAAAATTCCCATTAGTGAAAAGGAAATTGTTTGCGTCTATAAAATTAAAACTGCTGCAGTCATCGACACTAAGTAAATAATTTTATATACCAAATTTATTATCGCATGTGACAATTCTCTTTTTTTTTCTTTTTGTTAATGTTATTTGATTGATCTCTTTCCCACTTTTATATATATGTGTGCGTGACTGAGTAGATAGAAAATTCAATTTCCAACCATTAGACACATGTTCAAATCTAACCATGGTCGATTTGTTCATTGAAGTGACTTCTTTATTTTATCGGCCTGCAATCTCAGAATTTTGGAAAATGTCTGAAAATAATGCCATGGGTCGACCAAAAACCTTGCTAGTGAAATTAGGTAGATGGAACCACTTAAAAGTCATCAATGGTTGTGCTAGCACAAAGTCACAAGTCATTGTGACTGAGGTTCTGAGTGTACCACCCTGGCAGACAGGTATGCTCAGAAATGAGTAGTATCCAACCACTTTATATATATATATATATATATATATATATAAAATAAATGTGAATGTCACTGTGTCATTTTTCAATTAAAAGGACACAAATCTAACTTTAAATAGCACATCTTTTATATAATAAATGCAAATGTCAGTGTATCACACAGTTTCAACTTTACTCCTAGAGGCCATAGACCAAAATATTATACCATTTTGGAATCAGGCCAACACTGTGAGCAAATTAAAAACATTCCTGGCCGGATCCGGGCCCACAATTCTGAAATTTTGGATTCCCAAGTTTTCATTACTGCAATTGTTTTCAGGAAAAAATTTTTTTTTTTTTTTTTTTTTTGCAACAAATTTTTTGTATAATAACAATTTTTATAACTTGGAAAGAAACTAGAAATTAATTGCGAAATCCAGCAAAAGTGAACCATGAAATAAAAATAATTGTTTGTATAGAAAGTAAGGACCTACATACATCAAGTTGTCTTTAAATTAAGTGTGTGTGTAAATATATATATATATATATATTACAGTTTTCCTATTGTCTTTTTTCCTATATATATGTGTGCGTGTGTGTTATATATGGTTATTTTTCAATGTAATATCCTTTGCTAAT